TTTCATATTTTCAATGCGCGAATGTTCGTGGTCTATGTGGAAGGATCCATAGAAATCTATTGTTTTATTCCAGCGCGTCATCGTGTTTGATAATAGTTTTGCTTTTTCGCGCTCTGGGTGGAAAGGCCTTTTAGTCTTAAATTAGTCTTAGTTCTGGTGTCAAAGGTTATTTTTTGTTAGTCAACCTTGTCCTGTTTTTGTTTAATCAAGTTTTAGTCGAATACAAAACATTGTCGGTGCTTTCGCAATGAAGAGCGAGCGCGTGCGCATGGTTGCTAGATTGAAGAAAATAACAGAAGCTCTGATTTGCGCATTTGAACTCTTTTGATATCTGGCAACCGAAAGCTCGTGTTGTAGTGGTGTGTACAGCATGCCACTATAATATTTTATCTCCCTTTTTTTCGACAAAAAAAAAAATTTGGTATAGTTTTTATTTTTTTTAAATACATTTTAGTCTCGTCTTTTTTCATCAATGATATTGCATGTTGATATAGTCAGTTATCGTTTATTGACCTTATCGTCTCGTCTTAGTCATGGGAAAAAAGCTAGTCAACAAACATTTTTCGTCATACTTTTCATTAACGAAATTAACAATAATCAGAATGAGAGAAAAACATGCATACCTCCAATGAGATGGTGCCGCATCTCTGCTTAGATTTCAGTGGTATCCATTTGTAAATGCTGTAGCAATCAAAGGACCCTGAAAGCATATCATGTGTAAGATGTTGAGCAGAATAATTGAAGCTGTATGAAAGCAGTGATTCTAACACACTGACAGATTCAGACAGAATAATTTACATATTTCTCTTTTATGAACAGTCTGAAATTCATTCTTCTCATGTACAGAATCAAGAACATTAAGAGAACATTTATCCACAAATGATACTGCTAAAAGTGGCAATGAATCTGCTCTCTGCCTGTCATTGAGAGCAGACCTGCTCATGAAAAAGCATGGCTAGTTGGGCAGCAGCAGATGTTTTGGATGCTGGTTTGTCCCTGGCAGGTTTCTTAGTCTAACCAGAACACCACTGTGGAGGGTTCCCAAAAATATCAACCAATGAATCTGTCGTTTAGAAGAATTTCTTTTCCAAATTGAATTTTAAAAATTACTGTATTGGGACTAACAGGACCTTCTAATATATGTGATGGTATAGAGCCCTTTCTCATTCAGGAAATTCAGTCTTTAGGCCCCATACTGCCAAACATCACCATGTATCTTCAGATGTTTGCTGCTTCTGTTTTAAAAGTGCCATTTCATTTATTCTGCTACAATCCACATCAGAGTACATAGGAGACCTCCAAGCATAAAGAAAATACAAGTAGAAAAGTATTTGTCCTGATTCTTCTTCCATGGAGCTGATCAGTCCTGAATAAATAAATCCTGCCCATTGTCAGACTACGTTTGTGAACTTACAAACCCACACTGCTGATTTAGAGGGCAAAACGGCAACCTGTCAACAAGACTTTTTGAGAAACACAGCCGCTTATCAGGCCTGTCATCAGACTATTGTGTGCATGGCAGGAGCGGATCTGTCTAATCCATACGAATAAATCAAAGTCAGTCTCACACCCGCTGCTTTAGAGGGCAGGAAGGAAAGGCTTTCTTAAATTTATATTGGCTTTTCTGCCAGGTTTCCTCATTTTAAGAATTGTGAGTAATTAAACTATTTCATCCTGCATGTGTGTTGATATTATAAGTTGGGGGGTTGGGGGGGGGGGTTCAGTAGGTGGTGAACTGGTGACACGTGTCAGAAAAATAAATGGAGACGTGCATTTTAATTCTGCGTAATTTCCCGTGTTAATGTTCTGCACAGAGACTTCAAGAACTACACACACACATCTATCAGTCCAGCTGAACGAACGCACACTAAATTTGGAATTAATTGCATAGCACAAAACGGCACTCACTCAGAAACACACTAATGCTGATGAATAAAGTTATGAATTCATGCAGTGACAAGTTTCTGCTCACTTCAGTTTCTAACCAGCAGTTAATATTCCTGCTATCAGTGAATTGTCTTTATACACAATAAACAGCATTTATGAGCAGTTCTTCACCAGTTTAGCCATTTAATTTTCAACAGAAGCAATCTCTGAAGTAACTGTCTTGCTCAATGGCCTAATGGTGATAGTTAACAGACAGCCCGTGTAGAATCAAACCTTTTAATTAGCAGCCAAGATCTTTATCCACTAGGCAACATCACTCCTGTTGTCAGGGACGTGCACAGACATTTTGAGGGGCAGGGGATCAAGTGGAAAAAAGGGCACTTCCCATATTTATTAAAAAAAAATTCTAAACAAAATGTTAAATATATTAGGGGTGTGCGATATTGACAAAAAATATATCTCAAGATTTTCTGGGATTTTATCGATAACGATAATTAGATGATATTTTGCTGAGTGTGTTATTCTTAAGTACAACTATATCCTAAGGACTACCGCGGACAGCTGACTCCTAAAGTTTTTGATATTCTTCATATTCTGTGTAGTGATCAGTTCACAGTAGTGATAGAAATTAATATTTTCCAATAAGTTTAAATTGATTTTTACCTTTTATGGGCATTTTTACCTTTCTAAAGCCATTTTTTCTACAAGTGTGCATCATCTTTTCAGTCAAATTCTTAAATTGAATCAGTCAATTAGAATAAGTAATTTGGGCTGTTACCAAGCAAATGAAATCAGTATTGACAAAATTAATCTGCAATGCCGAGAAAACACAAAAGCTGCATTAGAAGGGGCATTTAGATGCATTTACACACTGTTTAATGCAGGGCATGAATGTATTTAACCTGCAGTTACAAATGCATTAATACTGTTTTGATATTTTAAACATAAAACATTGAATACTGATATTTTCAATTATTTAAAAAAAATGAAAAGATACTATGAAATTGTGTGTGAAATTAAAACTGTCAGTAGGTGGCAGCAAGTCACTGTTAATAAGCGAGTAATTTCGATTGAACTGAATCATTTAAACGGTTGATTCATTCAGGAACAAAACAGTGTCATATTGCTCAGAGACGCAAATTGGAATAATATCTGTCGGCGAAATAGAGCAAAAACAGTCAATATTGTATCTAAAACGTAAGTGTCTTATTAAATTCTTGTTTATTGAACTGCTTTTTGGTGGAAAACTTCGCATGATACTGATTAACTATATGAAATGATATAAATATATACAGTGGGGCAAATAAGTATCATGGTAGCTCCTATGAGTCATGGATGTTAGCAAGACAAATTAACTATATTTGACACACACAACTGGAAAGGGAGGGAGGCTCTCTGTCTGCGACTGTGATGTGCTGATGTGTGCTACACTGCTGTGCTGCACAGAGACGCGGAGGGGAGAAACTAAAGTCTCAACATTTCCCGACCCGACATTTTGATTTTTATTTGTTCGACAGGGAAAGCTGAGCGTGTTTGTTTCAAACAGAAACACACACACTCAAATATATACATAAATTAATTTGTTTAAAAAAAACAAAAAAAAACACTGTGCGCGCACTAGGGGTGGGAATCACCAGAGGCCTCACGGTACGATATTGTCACGATACAATATGATTGCGATATTCTGCGATACATTGCAATTTATTACCTTTTTTCAATTTCAAATTATGTCCCCAAAGGAAAATTTTTACAACATCTGTTTTAACTAAAAAGAAACATTTCTCAGTTTGTTTATCTCACTTCAGTTTTATTGCTGCAGTGCAAAAAAGGATTGTCAAGCAGACAAACTGACCAACACTTTCATGAAAACCTGTCATAAATGTTGTACGCACCTGGCAAACTCAACTATTTGTATTATAGTCTAGTCTAGTCAACCTTAAATAAATGTAAACAGGTATGCACTGCTGTGCTACTACAGGTATTTTGAACAGTGCAACTTGAAATTGTACTAAAAAGTTGTGCAGACCCTTCAGCAATTGGGGCATTTGAAAGTAAATTGCATTACAAATTTAAATTAAATTAAATAAAACATATAGTCTTACATCTAGGGATGCACCGAAATAAATTCTGGATGCACTTGGCCGAAAACCGAAAATGCTTTGTAATGATTATTTTATTAAATAATATAAAGTAATTTTGTAAGACTTTTTCAATTGAACTCAATTTCAATGATACTGAATTTTAAAAAACACAAGCCAATAAAATAACCACACTTTTACTGAAAGTAACACAATAAAACTGGACAGAATTTATATTAATATTGGTAACACTTTACAATAAGGTTCATTATTTAACTACTTTAGTTAATGACCTAAGAATGAACAATAGTTCTTCAGCATTTATTAATCTTAGTTCATGTTAATTTCAATGTTTACTAATGCATTATTAAAATCAACAGTTGTGCTGGTTAACAGTTAATGCACTCTGAATTAACATGAACTAACAGTGAACAACTGTATTCTCATTACCTAACATTAAGAAAGATTAATAAATACTGTAATAAATGTATCGTTCATTGTTCGTTCATGATAGTTAACACATTAACTAACATTAACTAATGGAAACTTATTGAAAAGTGTTACCTTAATATTAAATATCAATGTATTATTTTTATTCACTTATATGTATCCGAATCAGATATAAGTTGTTGTTGTTTTTTTTGGACTAATTCCATATATTATTATAATTATTATTATTATTATTATATGTAGCCTATATTTTCGGTGCATCCCTACTTACATCCCCTCGTTGTTTACAAATCCGAAGTCCATACATCCGATTTAAACACAGACGGGGCTTTCCTGATAATTTTCCGCGATGCCGCCCTCTTTATTTTACTAACTTACTGCATGCTGAAGGTGAACACCACCATCTAGTGGATTGTAAAGAAATTGATTTTATTATTCTACCAAATAGTATAATAAAAGATCGATACTTGGCGTCCGTGTATTGACACAGTATTGCTGCGGAAAATATCGCGATACTATGCTGTATCGATTTTTTCCCCACCCCTAGTGTGCACATGCCTGCCTGTTGTGATGGGAGATCATAAATTACTCCTTCTCATTATTAGCTCAGAAGTTTAGGAACAGTTCAGCCAAAAATAAGAATCTTTTTGAAATTTAACCTTGGCACATTTTGGTTACGAGACATGCGAGAACCAATGAAAACAAAAGTTAATTTTGTTCCTCAAACCAAATTGCAACAGAACCACTGTATGATTTCAGAAGATTTTGAATACACCACACATATTGACCACTATTATGGAGCTTTTTTCAAGGGTTTGGAACGTCATGACGATAAGTAAATGAGGACAGATTTTTCAACTGGTCATTGAACCACTAGACTACCAGCACTAGATCTCTAACATGCATTACCTTTCATATATAACAGATGAAAACGGGCCTCTAAAGCAGACCACCCACAAGCAATAAAACAGTAGAAATCTGCTGCAAACACTCGCATAAATCAAAATATGTGCTTCATTTGGTTAAGAAACTGATTTGTGAGAACGGGGTGAATAATTTAATTTCACTTTGGCACCTCATTATAAATGCTTCCTTCTTCAAATTGAGATCTGTGCTGACACCGAGCCACAACCTGATGTCCGTGACATCTGCAGACAGAATCTGTGCGCTCCCTGACAAAAGCCAATTAAAGCAAGTTTTTGTGCAACGCAGGGGCTTTTGTTTAGAGACGGTGTCAAGAGCATCTGCTAGTTACAGGGGCATCTGATTTTGACAATTTGCTCAAATCCAACCATGGCAGCTTTTTGCTTCCTTTAAACTGTTTGTGATGCTTTTATTCTCCAAACAAAACATCAGCAAGACAAGATGTGTCAGTCTAATGGAGACTCGTGACTCATTGGGGTATTTTTGAACATGTGGAATGGAACTAATTCCTCTGATATATTTGTTTTCCTAACTCTGCGTTTCTAAATTGCTAGACTGACAATCAAGCCCTTGCCATAAAAAGTGAGTCACAAAGGAGGAACAGCCAATCAGACTCTAATTTCTCAGTTGGAGGTTGAATATAATTAAAAAGTATGATGGACAAAAGACACAAAGTGAGAACTTTCTCCGTACTTTCGAATCTCTTGGCCACATCAGCATGACTGAGGGAGTGTAAAAGAGCTCTACTCACTGCAATACTGTGATTGAACCCCGAGCCCGGCTGGGGGCTGGCAGCACTGATGTAATTTCCCACAGCGGAGTCCTGACTGCTGGGGCCATACAAGTCTGCCACAGGTCCAGGACTGTTTGCAATGGGGAAACCTCCAGGCCGTGGAGGATTAGCACCTGTACAAGACACAGCAGATTTCTGATCAATCACATTTCAGTCACTAACATGGCCACTAAGATGGCAGAGAAACAGAATATGTACACTACTGTTCAAAAGTTTAGGGACAGTAAGATTTTTTTATTCAAATAATTGATTAGATAAATTATATCTTTTTTATTTCACACACACACACACACACACACACACACACACACACACACACCGGCTGGGGGCTGGCAGCACTGATGTAATTTCCCACAGCGGAGTCCTGACTGCTGGGGCCATACAAGTCTGCCACAGGTCCAGGACTGTTTGCAATGGGGAAACCTCCAGGCCGTGGAGGATTAGCACCTGTACAAGACACAGCAGATTTCTGATCAATCACATTTCAGTCACTAACATGGCCACTAAGATGGCAGAGAAACAGAATATGTACACTACTGTTCAAAAGTTTAGGGACAGTAAGATTTTTTTATTCAAATAATTGATTAGATAAATTATATCTTTTTTATTACACACACACACACACACACACACACACACACACACACACATATATATATATATATATTTCTCAGCAAAAGAACACATGAAATTGATCAAAATTGACGATGTTACAAAAGATTTCTAATAAATGCTGTACTTTTCAACTTTCTATTGATCAAAGAATAAGTATCCACAAAAATATTAAGCAGCACAACTGTTTTCAACATTGATAATAAGAAATGCTTCTTGAGCAGCAAATCAGCTTATTAAAATGATTTATAAAGAATCATGTGAGATTGAAGACTGAATTAATGACTGCTGAAAATTCAGCATTGCATCAAAGGAATAAATTACATTTTAAAAATAAATTAGAATAGAACAGTTATTTGAAATTGTAATAGTATTTCACAACATTAATGTTTCTACTGTATTTTTGATAAAATAAATGCAACCTTGGTGAGCATAAAAGACTTCTTTCAAAACATTAAAAAAAAGAAATCTTACTGACCCCAAACTTTTGAACGGTAATGCACGACACGTCACTTGCCTAGTACTGTTCTGTATAATATTCATTATTAAATACATAAAAAAAAACATGCAGGTGAATGTGTTAAAAAGCGAAATAACATTGTCATCCAACCACATGCTGCGCTGCGCATTAAGCAGGTCTGATCGAAGGACAGGGCAGGGAGAAATGCAGGCTTTCCTGCTGTGCTGAGCACGCTGTGAGCTGAGATTTCAAGTGAGCGTGAACACGCATGTAAAGCTTGAGCTTCCTTTGTGACTGCTCATTCCTCTCATCTCCCTTCACAGTGACAGAATACAGCTGGAGCTGGAGAAACCCCCAACATCACTGACTGCAGTCACCACAGGTATAAACCAGATGGAGGAGAGAATGCGTATTATGTACAAAGTGAGGTAATGATGTCACGCTGTATTGACCTTTATATTACTTACTCTGTCTTATTTACTAAACCCCCTCATAAACCCCCATAATGTTACTATCAAAGATGGTCTAACTACAGAAAACTCAGAAACATGTTAAGTAGATCACAAAGGTTAAAATTGTCATAATTCACACACACTAGTTGTCATCCAAAATTGCATCCAAAAGTGATTATTTAGAGGAACCAATATGATGGTTTGATTCAATAAGTTTACTGAAAACTAAAATGGGAATAGATCCATTAGTCATGCTAGAAAAAAAACCTTTTTGCAATTAAATAATGTAATAACAGTATAAAATACTCAAATAAAACACACACACACACATATACAGTGGTGTGAAAAAGTGTTGATGTACTTGAATTTTTTAAGGGAAAAAAAAAAGAAAAAAAAAAAAAAAAACCAGGAAGGGGGCAAAAACCTTTTCACAGCACTGTATATACGTTCATAAAGTATTTATTCATATAAGTATATATATAAATAAATATTTCGTTTAGCAGTATTTTTATTTAACACTGTGGTTTTAAATAAATGATGACAGACAGCATTAACTAATTCTCCGCCTGCCTATGGACGTGCTTCCCCTGTCTTATCTGAGTGCTACGGCTTTCCTTGCTTTCACAGTCATTTTATGTGTACACTGTAATCTTTATTCCATATAATTGCTGGATTCTGTAAAGGTGAGTGCCGTGCTTTCTCTCGCTTTGCCAGGAATAGGATTTATGTTCTAAATTAAACCCTGGGGCTAAACTGTTACTGCTATTAGCTTTAATAGCTAAACATGACTTACATTTATTGGCTTTGACTGGTAGCTTAGCAGCACCCATGCTAATTAAACCCACCGGCCTGTGATTACGCAGTGTTTCTGAGACACAGGTCACTCATCTGTCCCGCTCCGGCTCCCAGCGTTGGGGTTTTAATTGATGTCACCCTGCGCGCATCCTTTGGCAGGATAACAAAGTGTTTTTGCTGAGCAGGGACAGCCATAGAAATGTAAATATTCTTTAACACAAAGCTACACACCAATGGCATCAGTATTGACCCCTGAAAAACCCACAATGCATCGACTGTGTCCAAGTTGCCACAGCAACAAAGCATACAAGAGACATTTGGACAGACCTTCATATCAGGTAACACGCCTGTATTTAATAGATCTCTCAAAACGCTCTAAACACACACTGAAAGCAATATTAAGGTCCTAATGCAGCAGCAAAGTAGAAGATGAGTTTTTGTTTCCAATGTCAACACAAAAAATAAAACTAAAGGATGTGTTTTTTTTTTGGCTGGTAAAAGCAAAAACATAAGAGAGAAAAAGACTTGGAAAAGTAGAAAGCTAATAAGACGTAGCAAATCACAAGTCAGATATCTCAAATTTTTGGTCTAAATGCACTTCAGAGATCTTGAAGTCAACAGAAATGGAGTTCCCAACACATTCACTTCCACAATGTGACATTTCAGAGAAATGACAAGAACACTGATGTTTTTTACATTTAAATAATGTACACTCATGAATGGATTTAGATTTAGCCTTTGTACTGTGAATCCAAAGTTTGCAGCCTCAAAATGAGCACAGGTTAGGCTCGAGTCCAAACCCACATCTATGTGATCGCTGGTGTAAAGTAAGAGAACTACAGACATTTTCCATTTTTTTGGCTGCCAAATGAAATGAGGCAAAAGAAGTAGGACAGAAGGAGCCAAATCTCAAAGATCCACAACACCTGGCCTGACACAAGCCATGTTGCCACAGTGATTAGGACAGTACCACAGAAGGGCTGCACAACGCGTGACTTCCCAGCCTCTTTCATCGGGACAAGACTGTTACTCCACAGAGTAGTCCCTCCATGACTAGAGGGTTCATTTTAAATCTGATTTCTAAACAGCCAGTCACATTAAACTTTTCATTCCAATGACTTCCATTTATACATAATGCAATGCAGGAGACAAGAAACAAAAGCTCAGGCGAATTTGGCTGCATTCCAAAGTTCAAGTTGGTGAGCTCGGTCCTGCAAACTCATATCATCAATACCCTAAATTATGCTTCATTCACAGATGTTGTACGAGTTTACACCTGTATTAACATCGGTCAGGTGATCACAAGGGGTACAGATGTAAATACAGTCCAAACTTTTCATTTCTGTTAATAAAGGTACTTCTCACATTTATGACACAGATTAAAATTAAATATGTAGTACATATAGTATATAGTTATATAAAGTGTTTTAATCATATTTTATGTCATTTTATTTATAGGTAGGGCTGATTTCTTTGTACTTAAACATGCAGTACATGAGTGGATACACATGGAAGGGTTTTTACCCTTGAAAAAGTAAGGAAGGACAACAACTCTCAGCATGCTGGGATACTCATGTACATTTGTAATGAGGAAAAAATGAAGGTGTATTTCCCAATACATCAGAATAAATGGGTGTTAGAAGCAACACATGTCTAGGACAAAATATGCCATACACACCTGAGCTCTTAAAGTGGTCCGGGCTTGGGTGGTGCTGGGAGGGTGAGTTGCAGGTAGAGGTGACGTGCTCGCTTTGCAGCATCTGACCCGTATGGGGCCCCAGGGTGGCATAGTCGGCAAAGGAGCAGGGAGTGCCCCGCTGGTCACCGGGCCCAGAATAAAAGCCGTAATCGGGGAACCCTGGGAAATACGCAGAGTAGGGGGGATGCCGTCATTGAGAAGAGAGGTGTTTATATGATACACAAAGATGAAGTGACTGAGGCAGTGAGGTATGCGTGACAGGAGACAACATGAGGCTGAATGATGCCCACGTACACGCACTCGTACTCAGTTTGTAACATGATTCCCACTAAACCAAACCAACTATCATAGAGATGCTAGCAAAGCTCTAAAGAGAAACCTATGAGTAAACAGGTCAGATATGGCAAATACAGTGATTAATAAAATGTGGTTCACAGCGCTCCATTGATGTTTATTGGACATTAACATCAAAAAAGGATGTTAGACATCATTAACAGTCACAAACACACTTATCATTGGAATGGCGGATAATGAACGCCTCAGAGGACATCATTTGATGGCTCCAGCATCGCTGACATTTATAGCTGGTCTTTTCAATCCTATGTGCAGGTTTGATATACAGAGGGCATTAAAAGTCTTCATTGGCTTTTCAGAAACAGTAAGCTGATCCAATCAAATTAAGTCGAGATCCACCACACAGGTTTTTCATCTTGCGTCTGCCTTGTCGCATGTTTGCTTTTCATTGGGGTCTGGGACCTGCAGGAGCATCCTGGAGTTGTGCCGAACATCCCAGTGCTGATTATGCCCTCAACAGTTGCCAAGAGAAATCTGAAGCTATAAATAGTTTCTCTGTCATCAGCTTTGCAACTTTCCCTCACCATCCGTGGTTTGTGGGCAAAACGCCTGCCTGTCAAATTATGCTCAAGTGCTTGAGGAATGGCACACCTCCAACTCTGCCTGCTTACTGTAATACGTGACTTGAGGAATCACAGAAATGTACTGCTGTAATGATTCCAATTACATCTCTGTCTAAACTCAAGCCTCACGTGCATGATTCCGTGGACACACTCTGCACAAAAATATGTAGATGTACATGACCATGAATTCTCTGAAACTGTTTAATTTAAAGCGTAAACTTATTAAAGGAATAGTTTTGCCCAAAAATGAAAAATCTGTCATCATTTACTCATCTTCACATCATTCCATACATGCACAATTTCTCTTTCCTCAAAGCAAAATGAAAGAAGATATTGTGAAAAATGTTTTTTTTTTTTTGTCCAGACAATGAAGGTCATTGGGGTCTAATATTATTTATATCCACAATGATTTTCATTCTATGGATAAAGACATTCTTCACATTATCTTCATACAGGTTTGAAACGACACAATGGTGAGTAAACAATGACAGAATGTTTATTTTGTATGAACTATTCCTTTAAACAAAGCTGGTGAGTGATGTGTTCAATGTTATAAACACCCACAAATCAAATTCTGCAGAAGTCTGTGGCATTTCCTACAGAGTTCTGTGTGGGACACACTGGGGTTGTTTCAGGTCACTGCTAGGCTTCCTGGCTCTTTAGTGAAAAATTGACATTTCTGTTCAGTCTTTTGGATCTTTTTCTCCCCACCCTGCACTGTTACTCAGGACTAAACCAACTTTTCACGCTCGATCTCAACTACAAAAAAGCCCACACCAGCAAAACAAAGGCCAGAGACACCCTTTTCTTTTCATAATCCATTTTTTTGACATGCATTCTAATCGCCAGTCCGTGAATTTTAAAGTGGGTTTTCTGCTCCCTGCTAATTAGACAAGCTTCTGCTGCCTCTTCAGCACACTCTAATTAGATCTTTAACAACAAACAAGAGTCGACCTTTACACAGACTCCTCCATTTGTTAAATGGCTGAGCAGGGCGTGGGTTGGCGAACGTGCAACATCCCCCCCTCCCACGATGTCTTCGTGGAACCGTGCCGCACACATTCCACAAGCCACAGATGCCAGGACACCACAATGGCGGCTTCCTGTTCCATCTGCCTAATTCTGCCGATTACAGGATACCGGGAGAGGCAGTACACAAAGCCGACATTCACACACACAACGGATGTACAAAGCTGCTTTGTTTATGCTGACACGGACAATTAGCCCTCAGCTGCACAAGGCGCTCAGTCGGGAAGGTCTTATCTAATAAAGGCAGGGAAAATTACCTTTATTGTTCAGGTAGATTGCCTCTAATGATAGTGCCATCAGTGTAAAAGGATATGAATAAAATGAGGCTGAAAAGAGCTCTCCAGTTGGATGGCAAGACAGCAGAAGCAACCATCTGGGAGTGAGCCGCTGCCTGATTATCTTCTTCAGCTCATTTTCTTTTCAGAGCATACAAATGATTTACTTTCACTTGAGCAAAGGTGAGAAACAGAGAGGGATCGGACAACGCTGCTCTGACATCAAAGTTAGAGAAATAATAGCTTTCCTCTGATCTTTCTAAAACAACACATGTTCGAGATTCAGCGAGTGTCTCCCTGGGGAGTTGCGGCGATGTGGGTGTCTGCCGCAGAAATGCGTTTAGTCCGTGTGGCACGATATGTGTGCAAATTAATGGTCTGCTAATGAACACCAGTCGAATGCTGTTTTAGTTGTATGGACATCTGCTGTAGCGCTTCATCAATAACACAATACTCCAGCACATCACCAGAGCTTGATAATTCAGCTGGCAGCATGCTAAAGCTGCAAATCTCTGTTACAGCAGTCTGGGCATATGGGTTAATGAGAACAGTAATATCACTGCATGAGCCACAAATGTGCATTCCAGTTTTAAAAAGCAGAAAAAAAACAAGGTGACTGACCTTGATTTTATGTTTTTTAGATAAATTAACAATTTTGTTTTGAGTTAATATTGTAAATTTTCTTACTGCAGAAAACTTAATTTTTATTAAAATGAATAGAATGCCACCATGACTTTATTGAAGTAACCTGGGATTAAGTGCTCACTGAATGGCTCGATTGAACCAGCAATCTTCTGGTCACCAGTCCTGACCACTATATTACAGTACTTCATGGACAGTACATCAAAGAGTCTGAGGCCTGACGGGGCACTTGCATTGAAATCCCATACTGATGTCAACATCTAACAGCAAAATTCCATGACAACCATAAACAGGAGAACGAGCGAGTGTGGGAGAGTGTGTGTGTGTGTGTGTGTGTGTGTGTGTGTGTGTGGAGGTGAGGCTCTCAGGTGTGAACTGCTGAAAACTTCAGATCAGCTCCTAGTTGCAGTATCACTGTCGATCGTCTCTTCAGCCCAATTATTAATATTCCAGCTATCAGCGTGAAACAAAAGACCCCCTTCTTCCATTTGTTTCTCTTTTTTCACTCTCTCTGTAGTCTAATTGGATGTAATTACTCATCTGCAAAACAAATGAGTGGGTCGGCGTTGCCGTGGCGACCGGATCAGCGGGCCCAGCAGTGCGAATCGTTCGCAGAGCCTCATTTCTGAAGATAATTACCCCTCTTTCCTCTCTTTCACTCTCGCCATCTCTCTCCTGAATAACAGAAAGGACTCGTACAAAGTTACAACTCCAGTATTCACTGTTCTACTCGTTTTCTTCCTCTGTCTCTTTGCATGTAGTCAGCAGAGGGGCGGCTCTCTGAGTGGATAACGGCTCCCCTTGCTTCCAATTTACCAGATCACAGAAGTGACCTCAAACTGCCTCTCTCGCTCACTAACACACACACGTCAAACAGTCTAAGAGCTTTCGATCACATTCACAATAAAACACAGGCCAGTGTCTCTCCTCTGCCACTTACGCCGCTGAGCTGGTTAAGAGAGCATCGGTGAACAAGTGTGTGTGTGATTATCCATACTCACACACACTACTCCCACTCAAATCCCTGGTGGCCATTCCACCAAGCCACTTCAAAACGGTTGTCAGTTAGCCCGTCATATTGGCCCCCAAATTAGCTTTGAATTTCAGAGCAGCTGTAATTAGCCTCTTCATTTCCACCTAAAGTCAATTTTGCAAGGGGGGGGGGGGGGGACCACCCGTGCCTGGATTTAGCTTTCACGGTCCATTTAAAATAGTCCTTTTTGACCGAACGGCTGGCTAATTAACATCACTAAACCCCCTTTTCCGTAAGTGCCGACATTTAATAAATAATACATATTTAATGTCGTGTCATTTTGGTGCTCAGAAAGGCTTCACTAATGAATTTTAACACATGATTTATTCAGGCATTTTCTGGCATGCTCTCAGGTCTCTCTCAGCGCTTTTCTTTGGTTGAATGACAAAGTAACTTCACAAAACCAGGACAGTAGATCTAAATGAGTGACGGCTCAGTTACAAAGCTTTTGACACGGAGCGTTATGAATTGTAGATGCACACAGCAGGAAGACACCCATTACGCACCTCATGTTTTAGTTTTTTTAAGTGACAAAGATACTGAAGTCTTCTTGCTGATCGAACTGAAAGTTGAGTTATCTAGAGCTCAGCTTCATCGGGCTATGTGTTTTCTGTTCTCTTAAAGTGTTCTAAAGTCATCCATTTTAAACAATTAGAATGTTACATCATTTTAAAAATAAATATTAAACTACACAGATAGAATATGATATACCAATAAACATTTTTAAATATTTATTTTGAATTTATTACATTTAAATACATACAAAAATGTAATATTCTTGAAACAATTTAAAAATAAATATTACAGGAAAAAAACTATTTTTAATACATTTAAAATAATATTACATTTACATTTTAAAATAAATATTAAACAAAATGAAAAATTTAAATGTATATATTAAATGACACAATTATACTTTTACATTGTATTAATTTAAATTATTAATACATTCATAGTCTAGACTTTTTAAATTGGTGACAAAATGCAGAAGGCTCTGGTACTACTGCTGTTTACCACTGTAGAATGTATCAAAAACATTAAAAGAGAAGTAAAAGAAAGCAAACTGAAAAATGAAAAAGTTAACTTGGGTATGATTCCTTCATACAAACCACACAAATGGACTCGAGCTCTAATGTGAAAACATAGTGGCTTCAGCTTTGCGGATCTCAGCAGAGCGAGCTTTGCTGCTGTAAATTCAGGTGCATTTTTTATTACAATTTCTAGGGGATTTACATCACATGCAGTCCAGCAGGAGCTAAAGCAATGGGCAACCAGGGCCTGTAGTTTAATCTCACCTCATATACACGAGCCAAAACAGCACTCCACAGAGATGCTTTTCAAGGCTCACAGAGCTTGGGATAAAATGGATAATGATCTCAGATAATGTGAGGTAGTTTGCCAAACAGGAGCATCTTCATGCTCGGGCGAGTGGGCAGGTGGCCCACTGTAGCAGAGCAGAACGTAACACAACATCTCATCTGCTCCCTCAAATACAACCTTGTAATACTATCATGCTTCTATCTGTTAATTAACACGAACGGACCTGAACCCATGCTGCATTTTGTTTCACAGTACCAATAGTTCTGTGGGGAAAAAAAGAAGACCAGCACATTTCATAGGACTCTGGGGTTAAATGCAGCAACCGCTGGCCATTGAAAAAGCACTGACACAGTGCTTATTCAAGAGAACATAGCTCAACACTGCACTCCCACAATACACCAGGACACAGGAAACTGCCTCCACTGCACTCCATCTGCTGAGCAAACTCATCCCTTTCCAATGATCTGTTAGTGTCTTACGACAACTACCTACTCACTGGGGAAAGAGGAGATAAAGACAGGAGGGGAGATAGAAATAGAAGATGGGGGGATGAAAAGGCGAGAAAAGAAAATCTGCACATGAGGTGAACTAAAAGAGAGAAGAGACACACACGAGTCCTTTCTGCCTTAATGATCAGGAATGGGTCGATTCGCATATGGCAACCTCTAGAAAAACAAGCAGAGCATTGCTCTGAAAGGGACAGAGAGATCCAGAGGGAGATGTCTCAGCAAAGCAGGAAAGGACGAGGCACATAAGTGGGAGACACATGCCTCCACTGCCATGCGCTAGGGAGATAGGCCACCAGAAGGCTGTGAGCCTCCCGTGGAGCAGGCCCCTGTAAAGCCAACAGTCTCTCCCATCGCTCTGTCAGGTCCAGGGAGACAGACCTCCATCTGAATCACTGAAACGCTCACTTTAAAAGGGAACAGCAGTAAAAAAGGGCACTGCAAAATTTAGATGAGGGTATGAGTCCGTTTATGAAAGCAATTCACCAAGACAATTTCCTCTTAGGGTGCTTTCACACCTGGCCCGTTGTTTCGGAACCTGGCACGTTTCCCTTCTTAGCTCGATTCATTTGGGCATATGTGAACACGGCAATCGCGCTCAGATCCGCACCAAAACAATTGGTCCGAGATCGCCTGAACGAGGTGGTCTCGGCTCGATTGAAAACGAACTCTGGAGCGGTTCGGTTGTAGTGAGAAAGCAATCCCGATTTAACGGACCAACGAACCAGGCTATATCACAATGTATAATGGGTGATTACGTAAGTACCGTGAAAAGCATTAGCTTTGTTGTTTTGCGAATACCTCAAAATGAACCTGTGAATGTCTGTGGGTGAGCACGTCTTCGCCATTCAAAATCAAAGCGCATTTTTCATTTTATAATGCCGTCTTATTGCTCTTCTTCCTAGTATGTGCATTTTAAAAATATTTTCCCGATGAATACTGGACTCCTGCTCAAAGGGATAAATAAATATAACTACATCTACAAAAAACAACAACAAGCCCGCGAAGCTGTTGTCGTTCCATCCTGACAGATGACAGCTAGTGGAATCCCGGAAAATAAACCGTGAAACGGTTTAATCGCGCGTGACTTGTATTAGCAAATTGGGTCCATTTAGAAACATTGCCGTGTGAAAGCGAACCGCACCAAGAATAAAAAGCAACATTGTAATAATTTTAATCCCTGTTTTGGAACAAAGCAATCGATCTACAGGTGTGAAAGCACCCTTAAGTGCCGTCATACTAGGCCAATAAACTCCAACTGAAAGGGAACAACTACAGTTATCAAGTCTTAGAAGTTTAGTTTGTAAGCTGTGGTATCTAGTTCTCACATTAATGTTGGAGCACCATTACTGTTGAGACATGACTCACTTCAACATTCTCCAGTGCTCTGAACTGTATCGAGCGTAGCTGCAGCGCTACCCTGGTACGTGATGTTCAAATTCAAATTTAAACTTTGGCCATATCTGACCCTTAAAATCAAATCTTATACTTCATTATTAATCTTCATACATCATGTTGTACGAAACAATGCTGAAGGAATATCTTGACATTCAGAAAACAAAATGGTGCATGGCAAAAAGTCTTTCATTTGCTTTAATGGACACTTTCCATAATGCTTTTCAAGTGAAAGTCTCGGCAACACACTTATCTTGAGAACAGGGCTGGGCAAATCTCAGAATTTACTCCCTTTCCGTTAATGAGTGTGAATTTGAATTGAATTGGCCACGAGTCACAGAAAGTGACACGAGTCACAGTAAAAAGAACTGAAATTGCAAAGAAATTCAAATTAGGCAAGAACTTAATGTATTAAATATGCTGAAATACAAACTAAATAAAAAATTCTGTAGTTGACATTTCAAATATCTATCTGTCCATCCTAAAAGTTTTCAAAACTTTCAAACAAGGCTTTTGTCATGGCAACATTTGAAGCTTTTCTAGTTAAAAATTAGTTATTTGAATTTCTTTGAATTAAATTCATTATAATTCCATGTTCTTGTTTTCAGATTAGAACTGCAATTCTGCATCCTGTCTGCTAACTCAATTCAAAATTCTGAACATTGCACACCCCCGGTTCTCAAATCCTCTTCATGTTGACTATATGTTTGACTACCTGTGTTAAACCCGTGTACATCACTTCAAACTCTTGACAGAGAGTGGTAAGGATTCTAGATGATCAACTGAGATGGATATACTCCTCTGTATAGTGCTACAGAGTCATTCACATCAGAGGGCACTAAAACGAACACTTCCCAGGCCACGGTAAAGTGCAGGTTCAAGAATGGAACTGATCTCTGCAGTGCCCTCTACTGATAAACCCTGCATTAACCGTGGGAAGGTTTCTAAGCAGAGTACAGTCTTTAGCAAGTCTTAGCAGAGAGATTTATCTTGTTCAACAAAGATGCAATGGAATCTATGAAATGACAGTTTAGGGCACACGACGAGTGAATAATGTGAAACGGGACACTAGTGAAAGTGAGTGTGTGTGTTTTTGGCTGGGGGGAGCAGTGGCCACTCAGAACACAGGCGGTAAAGAGTGTTTACCTGGCCCTGCGTTCTGTGGGTACGCCATGTAGCCGCTTCTTCCCCGGGTTGCCCTACCTGAGCCTCGTGCCGCCGCCACTGCTGCTGCCGCCACAGGTCCGTACGCAGTCGCTGGGAAACCTGCCGAGAGAAGAAAATGATTTACTAGTGCTCTTCATCGCAATCAAATTTACAGCCACATGAATGCATCAGAGCTTCAAAGAACAACTCTATTCACACTAATGCAACACACACGGGAGAGATGCTACATCATCTTTCAAATAATTACATATAAATCAAAAGAACTCAAATATAATTACTCATTTAAAGTGATGCTAGCAGGACTGATCTACAGCCTCTCTCTCTCTTTCCTGGCAACATTTTAATTACAGACAGCACAGGAACACGTTGCCCATGGAAGGACCATCAGCTTTTTCTTTCACATACCGGCTCAGAAAAATGCAACATATTAAAGTTCATTTGCACTTACTTTACACAGCTTCAGAAGCTTTCTCATAATGCTCAAATGCGAGGTGAGCAGCACAGAATTATGGGTATTTATAAAAATGATTACTCCACTGGGAGGACAAATGTACTTGTTTGACTGAATGCCACCAGAGGATACAGAAACCATGTGATTTAACACAGTGCCTGTCTTCCCTCATGTGTTAGTAGAGTTGACGGAGATGCATCAGTGCTCAATCCATCAGTGTGATCATTTGTATGGTGGACATGGAGCGTGAGCGGACAGAGTAGAGCTGAGAGCAGAGGATTGTGGGATTAATTTCTTGCAACAAAGTGCCTATTATCTCATTGAGAAGCATCAGAGGACATGTGGTACTCTTTAAGGTCCATAATGGCAGGTAATAATGAGTGTGTATGTGTCCTCGTACAGCTCATCTAAATGTGCTTCTTGGAAGCACAAAAATGAAATGAAAAAAAATGAATCAGCCGCTGATGAGCTTAATACTGAACAACAAGCCAAACTCTGTTGAATGACATTGTGCTTCACAGAATGCAATTTGTTTGTGGTAAACTGAGACCGCTGAAGAATCTTCATATTTAACAACAGTCACAAGTTCAGTGTTCAAACACTGTAATCAAACATAATCATCATCATTGTAGAAGCCAACTAAAAAAAGCCACCAGGCCAGAGTATCTACGGCTGTATTATTTCATAACAAATGTAAATACAGTCCCGGCACTTTAATGAAGGTGTGAATCTGTGTTTGACAGCTGCTCATCAGAGCAGTAAAGACTTACAAGGGGGTCTAAAGCCCATCTACAGCATGTCATTACACCAGACTGTAAACTCACAACTCAGAAGGTGGAGTGGCTTAGGAGGTAAAGATTTGAGATGGGCAACCCAATGTTTGTAGGTTAGATGGGGTGATCCCTCAACTATCACCATTATAACCTTAAGCAGGGCATTTAACACTCTGGTTACTCCAGAGGGACTGTTCCTATATTACACTGCAAATCACATCTAACAGGCAAAAAATTAGAGGAGGAGGGAAAAAAAAAAAGATTAGTGTTAGAGATAATTTGCCATATGGCCACTCAATAAAAATTAATAATAAAAGCAATTTTTTTTTTTTTAAATCAAATATATTTGCCATATGGCTACTCAAACAATAAAAAAAAATGTAAATAAACATTTAAAAAAATTACATACATTACATCAAAATTAATAGAAATTTGAAAATTAAATAAAAAAGAAATTATGAAAAAAAGAAAAACTATATAATAATTAATCAAATTAAGAGAAAATTTGCCCAGGCATTGAAAAATTTTAAACTGAAAAAAGTAAAATATTTGACACATGGCTAACCTTAATAAAAAGAGCAAATAAATTAAAAAACAAATTAAAAGAGAGAAAACTGTCATATGGATACTCAATTAAAAAAAAAAAAGAAAAGAAAGGAAAACCCCCCCCGAAAAATCATGATGTAGGCATGTATATAATAGCTTAAGTTTGTGGAGCAACAAAAAAAAAAAAAAAAGCCATTAAAGAGGTAAAAAGAGTAAAAATAATACAGGACCAGATTAAAGACGGTTATAGATAATACCAAACCTCTGTGGTCTCTCTGGTTTAAATTACGCATGTCATTTCCTGTTTCTTTCCCCAGCTCATTAATCTCTTCACAAAACACAAATCAGTATGCTAATGCTAATGCTAATGGAGGTCACGCGTCCCTGCCTCTCTTTCGCTCTGCTCGCTGTTGCAGAGCACAAGTGTCCTTCACCAAAGTGTCAAGTCATTTGTGCTGCTTTTCCCCCCTCGTCTCTTCCTCTGCACAGCATCTTCTGTCCCCCAGCGGTCTCTCTCCCTTCGTCAAAGTTATCGCTGGAACAAAGTTCTTGTGAGAGATTAACTTTGCCGGATTAGGTGGGTTAATTATTAGATCTCGGAGGCTCATTGTTTTGTGTTTCCGCCGTGAAAGGCTGCTTGAGAGAGGCGCTGCAGCATTAAATCAATTTCATGGGCTTTTCATTACAGACGAGATAACGCCAACATTTAGCATTCAGTTTTATGGTGTTACTTGAATCTGCTCCAGCGAATGGGCTGATGGGAGAGAAAAACCCTACTGAGAGGGCACAAGGACACATTGCTCTCCCCTGGGCACCGTAAAACCGCACAAATGGACCCTGAGGGAGCGCAGAAGGGGTCTACGACACTGAAAGGGAGAGGAAGAGGGACACAGACAGGAGGAAGAAGAGGAGTAAGAAGGAAAGAGAAGGAATTTTGAATGCTATACGAGGCCTGAAGAACACTGACTGCTGCAGATAACAGGTTCACACAGAACACCCTAGAAATCAGCCAGCAATGCCCTAAAACAGATTGTTCTTACAGAAAAATTAACAAATCTATTTCTTACAAGTAAGCACTAGCCTCATTATCATAGATGGTACAGAGAGAGAAAGATGTCCTTTCAGACTGACTACGCTAGAGCTACCCTGCTTTAGGAAACAGCTACTGAAAAGAGCCACATGTCCTGAAATTAGGCTATAAATACATCTGATGTAAGCCCACACACACGGTTTGTGTCCTATCAAACAACACGGAGCTGTGAAATGACAAAATCTGCGCCTTCATTTTTCCTTCATTGCCCACTTTGAAAGGAAAATAAAAACAATGAACGCTACCATAATAAGAGCTGGAAAAGGCAGCAGCCTTGGCTCTCTTTTCATCTGTGCAGCGAGTGACCTGTTGTTGCTGCATATGGGGAAAAAATGATATGCTGTTTGTAGTTTTGTGAAAGCTTTTCATGCGATATCAAAGGTGGATCTCAGGAGCCTTTGGTACAGGTGGTGTCTATATGAAGAACACAACATGCATACATATAAACACTTCTTTGCTTCCTACACAACAGTATAAACACTCAGAAAAGCCATTATGAAATGGTTTTTGTGCACAGGTGTCTAAACTAAGATCAGTTTTCATATGTGAGAGGTTTTGCCCAAAATGAATGAGCTGGATCTTCATTGTGAGTCTTCTGATGTTTGATTAGGGGACAAAAAGTCATTTTGCCAGGCAGATTAAAGGGCTCAATCTTTTTTTAGCTCATTCATACACCATTAAACTTAACGATGAAGGAGGGAGTAGAAATCTCCAGAAAAATCCCTGGACATCGCAAAACCTTCAAACGTCACCAGCCAGCCATGAGTTTCGCCCCACACCATAATGAGAGACAATTTTATGGGCAGGAGGACAGCCGTGACTGCGCAACTCCAAAAAGAGTATACGATCTCATCTCGCCGATCTTTCTGTTTTTGAAACAAATGGGCCATGAATCACGTGTGTAAGTGTGTGTGCAATGGAAGGAAGTATTGATGCACCACTCTGAAGCAGATATCATGGAGGTGACACACATTTCCTACCGCTCATCATAAAACAAAACCATCTCTCTGTGTCTTTCGACAGATCAGGCCCTTGTGCCAGAACACGATCAAGCAGGCCGAAATTTGTTGTTGAAAATAAATCATTCCCTGCCCAGGCACAAAAGAGTCGAAGCGCTTGGCCTGTTTCTAATGGAAATGTTTCCAGAATGATGGTTTCTGCTGACCTTAGGTTAAGATTTTAAATGTGTAAAGTATAGCTAAGAAAAAAAACAACGCAAGAATTTATCCTGGGTGACAGGTTCAGTGTTGATTCTCTGAGGACTCGAGGAGCTCAGGGTGTCAGCAGGAAGGACTCCGCCCTTTTAACGAGCAGCCTGTCTTGTTAGCTAGAAGCACTTAGCATTAATTAGCAAGGCCACCTCATTATTACCCAAGTAAACACTTCTAATTTGTTATGCATTTTAATGGCCTTCACCAAACACTTAAGAAACATCTTTAGGCATTTAAAAAGACCCCAACAACTCCAGACAGTTAGGAAAGACATTGACTGCTAGAGCAATCTGTGGGTTACTTGAGAACATCTGAAGAGCTTTTATGATGAGAACAAGTAAAAGAACCCTGCAAGTCACCTGCAAAATCTAGGCCTCAGGTGTCTATCCTTGATCGATCTATCTATCTATATAGATGATCTATAAATAATTTTTAAATTACATTAAATAAATATATATACACAGTATATGAATTACATTTTGGTGGTAAAGTACTACACTACATCAAAAATGAGAGAAAATCCATATTTCACTCTCTTTTATGTGCCACTCAAAAACAGGAAGCATTTTAAAAAGACTCCAAAACAACAACTATAGCCAAAAGATGCACATCTGTAAGTGTGGGAATGCAAGAAACACAAACGCCAGATTCGAAATTCAATGCACATTCGAGATTATACAAAGACAGCATTAAAAAAAACAATAGGGGCACAACGGCTCTCCCAAAGTCTCCTTACAAATGTCTGATTTCCATAATGACAGCCGAGAAGGAGAGATCTCTGGGTTTGTCAGTGGCTCATTCATGATCTCACACGGATTCAGACAGTTTTGTGTGAGAGAGAATTCCTGGCTTTACGCTTTGTGTGTGTGTGTGTGTGTGT